ACTTATATTTGTAATTCTAACTGCAAGGTAAGCAAGGCTGTTTCTTCCCCTCCATCGCAGCCCAGAAACTAGGGAAGATTAGGTCCAGTTTGGCCAGAGTAGAGTCGACAAGTGTCTCGGCTGAGTCTCTGGTGATTATCTCAGCCATCTAAGGTGCCATGTGGTGCCTCCTCACTCTGCAACAATGGGTGCAGGCTTAGCAGTTGGGGAGCTCCTGGGACCGGGATGACCCCCACTGGTCTGTAGGGGGAGGAAGGGTGCAGGAGTCTGCATTGTTTAAGGAGATGCAGTGTCGGGAGAGTGGCCGTCTCTCCGTCTTCTGTCGAGTTTGCAGGCCCCAAAGAGTGGAAAGTAGGTAGTCTGGACCTGGAGAGTTCCGTATCTGGTATCAAACGATTCACCCGGAACCCGATAATACTGCAAGTCTGCAGTAATTTCTGCAGGTTGACTGGTTTAAATTGATTATTTTGCCCGCTTAACTAAGGAGCACGTCATATATATATATATATATATATATATATATAAAATTAATAAATATCTACAAAAATACCGGCACTCCAAGGCTTTCATTCAGGTAGGTTCTTTATTTGATGAATTCCAGCAAGTCAACATTTCCTTCTTTCTAGGGAACTTTCATTAGGACATTACATAATTATAATTATATTTGTATTTAAAATGTAAATAATCAAAAAAGAAATTTAAATTTTTTTTTTTTTAAATTTAAAAAATTAAATAAAAATTAAATATAAAACATATGTATCTGTTTTTTGTTCTAAGTGTATTTTGATATTAATACATATATATATATATATATATATATATATAAAAATACATTTAAAATGACATTATACATAAATAACACCCCCATGTTTCATAAAAAATATCTATCTATAACTATATATAAACATTTTAAAAATTATATATATATATATATATATATATATATATATGAATAAAAGTCCAGATAAAATAAATAGATAAATGAATAAATAAATAAATAAAACAGAAGAGATCTTATCTTGCAATGTCCGTAGTACTTAGTCAGAGGTAATAATCTTGCTTTCTTGCTTTCTGTCTTGCTTTCTGTCTTTCTTGTGGATTGTCTCTTATGTAAGATATAAAAACAAATACAAAACCACAATGGTGCAGTATATCTATATGTGTAAGGAATAAAATATAAAGGCTTGATTGCGAACTCACATATCCAAGAGCTAGGACCTGCTCTGGTATAGAAGGCGTACAGCGGTTTAGATCCCCGCTTATGGGATATAGGATGGTTATCCTCCACGTGTTTCCTCCTTCCGTGGTGTAAAAGATGCTCAAATAAAAAGAGACAGCCAATAGTGTTCTCTGCGTAAAATTAAAATCCAATATAAAACAAAATAAAAAGTGGATACTCACAAGACAGGAGCAGGTCAACTGCTCCTGGTATTTCGCACTGGTGGAATAATCCCCACCTAGGATTGCTTGGAGTCCAGCGAATGATGCCAGGTAACAATAATAATTATATGTGTGTTAAAAGATAAGTAGTACAATAAAAGATTATAAAATATACTTTAATTGTAACATTACACACTATAAAAAACCATAAACGCGTTTCGCCAATCGGCGTTATCAATATGGGTAAAGGACCTGATACCTGGCAAAAGATTATTTAAATAGCATACTCAATTAACTCAAAAATTGGCGCCAAAATTTGGACAGCCAATCAGATAGCAATAAAAGATTACATACAATATAGCAGTAATAAAACATAAAAAATAATATACATAAGGATAAAACTAGAACAGACATTATAAATTATGTAATTTGACTTTGAAAACAATCACTGATCGTTTTCAAAGTCAAATTACATAATTTATAATGTCTGTTCTAGTTTTATCCTTATGTATATTATTTTTTATGTTTTATTACTGCTATATTGTATGTAATCTTTTATTGCTATCTGATTGGCTGTCCAAATTTTGGCGCCAATTTTTGAGTTAATTGAGTATGCTATTTAAATAATCTTTTGCCAGGTATCAGGTCCTTTACCCATATTGATAACGCCGATTGGCGAAACGCGTTTATGGTTTTTTATAGTGTGTAATGTTACAATTAAAGTATATTTTATAATCTTTTATTGTACTACTTATCTTTTAACACACATATAATTATTATTGTTACCTGGCATCATTCGCTGGACTCCAAGCAATCCTAGGTGGGGATTATTCCACCAGTGCGAAATACCAGGAGCAGTTGACCTGCTCCTGTCTTGTGAGTATCCACTTTTTATTTTGTTTTATATTGGATTTTAATTTTACGCAGAGAACACTATTGGCTGTCTCTTTTTATTTGAGCATCTTTTACACCACGGAAGGAGGAAACACGTGGAGGATAACCATCCTATATCCCATAAGCGGGGATCTAAACCGCTGTACGCCTTCTATACCAGAGCAGGTCCTAGCTCTTGGATATGTGAGTTCGCAATCAAGCCTTTATATTTTATTTCTTACACATATAGATATACTGCACCATTGTGGTTTTATATTTGTTTTTATATCTCACACAAGAGACAATCCACAAGAAAGACAGAAAGCAAGACAGAAAGCAAGAAAGCAAGATTATTACCTCTGACTAAGTACTACGGACATTGCAAGATAAGATCTCTTCTGTTTTATTTATTTATTTATTTATTCATTTATCTATTTATTTTATCTGGACTTTTATTCATTTATTACTTAAGCGCAGCCCTTTTTTTTTTTGTATTTTTTGTGTTTTATCCTAAAGGGTTTTTGAGGGATTCCCTTTTTAGGGTTGCTGCCCACTTGTGTTATTTAGCGCTTACTCATCTGTTTTTATATATATATATATATATATACATATATATATATATATATATATATATATATATACACACAAGTATAGTGGCACTCACCCTTTCAATGAATCAGTAAAAGACTGCCTTGGTGCAATCCCACGCTGGATATGTAAAGCAAAAAGGAAAGAGATGCACTCTCAGGTCTTTGTAAAAAAAACTCGATATTATTTAATAACAGGTAACATACATCTGATCGACGTTTCGACCTCTTCAGGTCTTCCTCAAGATCAATATACAAACATATACAACACAAATATATAGGCAACATAGGAGGAGTTACTCACCAAACAAACAGTGCACACCGGTTTCCATTAGTCCGAACCCGGAAGTGTAAGTGAAGCGTCATGTGACACGTGTCATGTGACGTATGGGCGTGGCCATTACCATGATGTGGTTGCTAGGAAACGGGTAAACTAAACCCGAGCAAATATGTAGTGAACATGAAACAGCTCGGATTAGGCAGAGAATTATCTGTGCTGCAATGGAATGAAAGGGCATAAAGCCCTGTGAAATATACAGAACTATAATACCTACCAAGTAGCATGATATAAACGCAATACAGTGATCACCACTAATAGTGAGGACTCAAAGGTCCATTTCTACGAAAAAAGACTATATTAATATTGATCCAGTATCTGAGATACACCAATTAAAGTTACCATATGTATGTGAATCTGAAGTAGTGTAAACATGCACCACATGACGCTTCACTTACACTTCCGGGTTCGGACTAATGGAAACCGGTGTGCACTGTTTGTTTGGTGAGTAACTCCTCCTATGTTGCCTATATATTTGTGTTGTATATGTTTGTATATTGATCTTGAGGAAGGCCTGAAGAGGTCGAAACGTCGATCAGATGTATGTTATCTGTTATTAAATAATATCGAGTTTTTTTTACAAAGACCTGAGAGTGCATCTCTTTCCTTTTGCTTTACATATCCAGCGTGGGATTGCACCAAGGCAGTCTTTTACTGATTCATTGAAAGGGTGAGTGCCACTATACTTGTATATATATTTTGTGGTGTACGCTACACTTTTGTGTGCACCCCCTCATGCTAAATTCCCTTAATAGGGATTATTCACTAAACAGTGATTTACTCTTCCTCTGAGAAACTGTGCTAGCTAACATGGAAGATTTTTTGGCAAAAGCAGGAGCTTTATTAGAATCTGCTGAAACTTTATCAATATCCGAGGAACAAGCAAATGCCATTTTGTGGCCACAAACCACAGGTGATTTAATTTACACTAATTCTGTACAGGATCTTTATAATGATTTACTTAAATTAAAGAAAAAGGAAACTGACCTGGACCTACATGGGGTCTTCATCTCTGATTACCACAGAGCTAAGAGGATACCCAGAGGTTTCAGGGTCAGAAACTCACCTACCATAGGCAGACAGAACCCTGAATTCTGTAAAAAATGGATGTTAATTTCCAACAAGTGTTCACTTGATTGGATGGTGATTGTGGTGGAGGAAGTGGGGAAGGAACTTTTATTTGTCAAACAATCTATCCAAAAGGTTGAAACCTCCAATGCCTCTATACTACAAGCATCTTCTGCCACTATACAAATGTTGAAATTACAGGATGAATTAAATAAATATAAAAACGATCTCATTCGCTTTAAGAAGCAGAAACTTGAAAAGGTCAACAACGACTATAAGTACCATCAGGTGTATAGGTGGCTTGGAGGTTCTCAGGATTCCCCTAGACCCAATTTTAGGCTTAGAACGAAGATCCGTAAACCCACCTTCCAAACCGTTGATGCCAGTTCTGGTGATTCCACCTCTGACCCTGAATCTGGAAGAGATAACAAGAACGCACCACATGATACTTTTTTAGGGGTGGGCACCCCATTGAGAGAACCACCGGGTACATCCAGAATCAATACCAGAGGCACAAACAGAACCGCCCAATACGAAGAGGGCAGAGCAACTGGAAGAAATTCAAATCCCATTGGGAAACCTCCCAAACCAAGGAAATAACCACTATTTTCAATTTATCAGATAAAGTGCTAAACACGGATCAGTACTCTTTGTTGAACAAAGGGCTTTCGTTTGTACTTGTGTCTAAAGTCGACCCATTTCAACAAGAGAGTGAGATGTATAAAACTCAAAGGAGACTTTATCTACATGAAATTATGAAAGAACCTACATCTAAATTGATATCACCATTTTACAAGAAACAAAAGAAGGATGTACGTACCAATAACGCCTCCATCAGGACCTTCATCCAGACTGTAAAGGCAGACACAGAACAGATGGTGAAAAATCCCCCTACATACCAGTCAAATCTAACTCCGGGTGAGATTAAAGCCTTACATGACCTCAGTCACGACATCAACATCGTCATACACTCTGCCGATAAGGGCGGTACCACTATGATTCAATCCTATCAAGACTATCGGAATGAAATACTACGACAACTTAATGACCATACTACATATATGAGACTCACGTTTGACCCCGTGAAAAAATTCCAAACCAGAATCAAGAACCAGATTGACTTGGGCATTCTTAGTGGTTTCTTGGATGAGAAAACAGCTCAATTTCTAATACCCGAGACACCCGGTACTATATACTCTGTCCAAGATCCACAAGGACCCTATCACCCCACCAGGAAGACCCATTGTGTCGGCTAATGATAGTTTACTGGAACCAGTGGCTAAATATGTCGATTTTTTTATTAAAAAAAGTGTAGTGGCACTCCCCACTTGTCTACGGGACACACGGGACTTCATTCATAAAATAAAGTTAACACCTACGATTGACGAATCGTCAATACTTGTCACTTTAGACGTACAGAGCCTGTATACCATCATACCCCACCAAGAGGGGCTACAGGCTCTCAGAACGGTTCTGAGTGAATCCACAGTATACACCCGACCTCCCATTGAATTCTTACTGGAATTCCTACATATTGCCTTGACTTGTAATTATTTTAAATCTGAAAAACAATTTTTTCTACAACTCTCGGGGACAGCGTTGGGAGCGGCGATGGCGCCCTCTTACGCCAACGCTTTTATGTACACATTTGAAAATAAATACATCTTACAGAAATTTGGAGACGCCATACAACACTACCATCGCTTTGTGGACGACATATTTTTAGTATGGACAGGTACTATGGAGTCATTGAAGAACATGCTTACTGAGATCAACCTTGCCCCTACCTCTGTGAAATTGAGTATGCAATACGACACACAGTCCATCCAATTTTTGGATGTTACTATCTACAAATATCGTGGAAAATTGGAGTTCATGTTATACCGTAAAGAGACGGACCGCAATACACTATTGATGGCATCCAGCTTCCATCCCAGACAATTTAAGGCTTCATTACCCATATCTCAATTCCTCAGAGTTCTCAGATACAACACTACTTCTGAAAATCATGACATTCAGTTTCAACAAATGTGGAATAGATTCAGGGCAAGGGGATATCAGGTTCAGACCCTCCAGAAAGCCCAAACTCGTGCCATTGAAATATGGGAATCTGAAACTAATGAAGTAACCAAAACTAATGCAACACCAACATCTAGGATGTTTCTCCCGCTCACATTCCATACGGGCATCTCTACGGTGAAACATTCTGTTAACAAGAACTGGGGACTACTACAATCAGATAAACAACTTCCAAAAATATTTCGAGAACGACCGATTTTCAGCTACAAGAGGAACAGAAGTCTTAAAGAAATTTTGGTCAGGAATAGAGATGTCGCGAACTGTCCGCTGGCGAACAATAGCGTGTTCACGTTGGGCGAACGTATCCGATTTCCGGTCCGCCCCTATACGTCATCATTGAGTAAACTTTGACCCGGAACCTCACAGCCAGCAGACACATTCCACCCAATCAGCAGCAGACCCTCCCTCCCAGGAAGTGTCTGCTGACTGTGAGGTTCCGGGTCAAAGTTTACTCAATGATGACGTATAGGGGGCGGACCGGAAATCGGATATGTTCGCCCAACACGAACACGCTATTGTTCGCCGGCGGACAGTTCGCGAACAGTTCGGCGGACAGTTCGTGACATCTCTAGTCAGGAATGACCCACTTCATTGCTACCAGCCTATATCAAATATCATCAAGAAAGGATGCTACAAGTGTAGTGGGTGTGTGACGTGCAGCCACATGGTTAGTGGCAAGTCATTTGCACATCCTCACAGTGGCGAAAGAATTAACATCCGACACCATATAAAATGTACCACAGACCATGTAATATATCTTATTACCTGTCCGTGCGGACTATCGTATGTGGGCAAAACTAACCTCACCCTGAGAGATAGGATATGTGGACATCGGTCAACTATCACCACTGCCTATCGGGATAACTACAGTGACAAACCAGTAGCCAAACATTTTTTGGCTTTAACACACAGACTACCATCATTACGCTTCATAGCGATTGATCATATCCCACCTCCTCCGAGGGGTGGTGATAGATCAAGAATGTTACTTCAACGGGAAGCAAAATGGATATACCAACTGGACACAGTAACACCCAGAGGATTAAATGAGAACATTGTTTATTCAGTTTTTTTCTGATACTAGACATCTCTCTTATCCCGGTAGTCTAGGATCATCATCCTGAGCCTCTTTTCCTGTACATCTTTGCACCATAGGGAATCTGTATATTGTGTACAATATGTCTTGCCTACGTTTTCTTTGTTTTTGGTGATATTTCTCTAGACTCCATTTACCTCTAGTGACTTGGTTATAGTGATCAATTAGGTCCTCCGACACTGGCATATACCATTTTGGCAGTGTAGTTTTGTAATTCTATTTTATTTTATTTCTTGTATACATTTTTCTGTATAGTCTGTATATATATTTTTTTCTGTATGCAATTTCTATACATTTTTCTCTCACATGGTCAGTGACTGATATTGCAATAGATTTTCAGTATTACCTCATATGGCTGTATTCCAATCACTTTCAGTGATTATTTAGCCTAACTGGCATCTTTACACCCCTTTTCTTGTGACTATAGACTCTGCAGTTGTTATTTGAAGTATTTATTTCCGTGTATTTACATGATATACAGAGTATATGGATTAGTCCTTTTTTCCTTGTTCCTTTTTTCCTTTTTTTCCTCTGTTCTGTCTTGAATGTGGTTTTAGGCCACTACCTATAGATTATCATTGAATACGCAGTGTCCATACTCTCTGGCCATCGTAGTCTGAAAATGCCGGATCTCGTCAGATCTCAGAAGCTATTCAGACTCAGGCCTGGCTAGTACTTGTATGGGAGACCAACTAGTAACATCAGATGCTATAAGCCTTTGTCCTAATCTTCATCTATTTTGTAGGATTCTCTAATTAAAGTTCCCACATAGTATTCTCATTTTAATACTCTGTATACTTTGTGTCCATGTTATGCTTGATTTAATTGTATGTGTTACGCATTATACATTTGTTTTTTTGTATTGTTTTTACCGGGTGCATGTTTACACTACTTCAGATTCACATACATATGGTCACTTTAATTGGTGTATCTTAGATACTGGATCAATATTAATATAGTCTTTTTTTGTAGAAATGGACCTTTGAGTCCTCACTATTAGTAGTGATCACTGTATTGCGTTTATATCATGCTACTTGGTAGGTATTATAGTTCTGTATATTTCACAGGGCTTTATGCCCTTTCACTCCATTGCAGCACAGAGAATTCTCTGTCTAATCCGAGCTGTTTCATGTTCACTACATATTTGCTCGGGTTTAGTTTACCCGTTTCCTAGCAACCACATCATGGTAATGGCCACGCCCATACGTCACATGACACGCTTCACTTACACTTCCGGGTTCGGACTAATGGAAACCGGTGTGCACTGTTTGTTTGGTGAGTAACTCCTCCTATGTTGCCTATATATTTGTGTTGTATATGTTTGTATATTGATCTTGAGGAAGACCTGAAGAGGTCGAAACGTCGATCAGATGTATGTTACCTGTTATTAAATAATATTGAGTTTTTTTACAAAGACCCGAGAGTGCATCTCTTTCCTTTTTGCTTTATATACATATATATATATATATATATATATATATATATATATGTCATATTTTTACATAAATAAGTCATTATGTTAATTACAATTTGAGGGACCTGCCTGACAACCCAAGCAGAAAGTCCAGAGAATTTGGTTCACAAGTGCTAAATGTAACCCTGTAACTTTTCAAGGCACCAAAAAACCTGTACATGGGGGGTACGGTCCCAAGTATAACAGTACCCCCATGTACAGTTTTTATGGTGTTTTAGAAAGTTACAGAGTCAAATATAAGGCTTGCATTTCAGTTTTTTTTTTAGATTGTTGCCTTTGAGATCGTATAGTAGTCCAGAAATGAGAAATACCCCCATGATGGCAGGCCCGGACTGGCCATCGGGCACACCGGGCAAATGCCGAGGCCGGCAGGGGAGGTCCCAGGACATCCCCTGCCGGTCTATGCAGGGCCGGCACTATCCGAGTGCCGGCCCCGCTGTCTTCCATGGAGGGCCGTTGTGGAGATCAAAGATGATGATGAGTGCCGGACCCCCTCCCAGATCCCCCCCCCCCTCCCAGGCTAAAGGTAGGAAGGGGGGGGGATTTAATGCCTGCTTAGTTTTTTTTTATTGTTTATTTACCCCCCATAGTTTTTTTTATTCGTATATTTAACCCCACTTAATTTTTTATTTGTTTATTTACCCCAACACACAACATTTATACACAGCACTCTCACACACATCATACACAGCACTCTCACACTCAGCACTCTCACACACATCATACTCAGCACTCACACACATCACACAAAACACTCTCACACAGCACTCTCACACACATCACACACAGCAATCTCACACATCACAGCACTCACACACATCACATTCAGCAATCTCGCACACATCACACTCAGAACTCTCACACACATCACACTCAGCACTCTCACACACATCACACGCAGCACTCTCTCACACATCACTCGCAGCACTCTCTCACACATCATACACAGCAGTATCACACTCAGCACTCACACACACAACACACACAGCACTCTCACACACAACACACTCAGCACTCTCACACACAACACACTCAGCACTCTCACACACATCACACGCAGCACTCTCTCACACATCATACACAGCACTATCACACTCAGCATTCACACACAACACTCTCACACACATCATACACAGCACCCACACACACAGCACCCTCACACAAATCAATCACATAAAGCACCCTCACACACACAGCACCCACACACTCAGCACCCACACACACAGCACCCTCACACAAATCAATCACATACAGCACCCTCACACACATAGCACCCTCACACACATCACACCTCACACACAGCATCCATCACACACACATACTGCACCCCTCACATACACACACAGCCCCCCGATACACTGCATCACACACATACACACTACTTCCAAACATATTTATATATATACAAACACAGCACCCCTCACACACACACACTGCACCCCTAAACACATTACATTCCAGACACACACTAGATCCTTTACCCAACTCTGGATCATCTACACACATACACACACTAGATCCCTATATACACTCTGA